CACAGTTCTGAAGTCTAGTTGAAAGCAGCATTGGGAAAAGAGCATGAAGCTGAAGTCAAGTACTGCATTTTTCCAGCATGGAACACTCGCCTACTATCTGCTGCAGCATGAATGCACACTTAGGTGTGCAAGACTAGTGTGGCACCAAAACAGTATAGATACAGCCTGCATTTAGAGTGAGGAGCAAGACCAGACAAATGCCCTACCAAGCACTTGCTGCCCATTAGTGACCTCGGGGAAATTTGAATAGACAGGTGGACTTTAGCAACAGCACCACAGGGTGAAGAGGGACAAATGAAGTCAGAGTGAAGACAGACCTTCCACCCCTCCATTCCCAGTGGAAATCAGTTTCAGATCACATCTATTTTTAAATTTAGTGTCCTATAACACATCTTTAACCTCTCCTACACTGCTGAAAGTTGGTGCATTGACTGGGCTGACCTGTCCCATCCCACTTTTCCTTTGGCATTTCCTCTTGGAAAATGCTGGTAAATGGCCACACACACACACGAAGGGATTCATTATTAGTCACTACTGGGCTAATGTTGATAGAAATTAGGGAGGGCATTCGACATCTAAAATCCAGTTGTGATTAAATCTCACTGAATTCCACCAGGGGCCCTCTGCTGGACTTTTTCACATAACATTGGGGAGGCAAACGACAAGTCCCTCCTCTTCTAAACTGTGATTGGTTTACACTATGGCTTCAATAAGTGTCTAGCCAATAGAATTTCGCGTGCGGTCCAACACCCGGAAGACAGCAGTGAGTGTCAAAGAGCCCGAAGTAGGTTGAAGCAGTTTAAACGTTTAAGGAAAAAAAAAAAAAAAAAAAAAAGGTTGTCAGTCAGGTTTTATTTGCAGTGTTTTCAGGCGCAAAGATGATGCAGGCTTTGAAAGGCGTCAGATACGTGACATCCAGCACAATGAAACAAGCAGGTAACCGGCAAGGCTCGTGCTCGTTCTAAAGCAGTCCGAAGTGGGGGAAAGAAATAGTGTTTGCAAAGTAGCGACTTCGTCTACAATTAAAGCACATTCGCAGTCTTACAGCGCCGATATGAGCGAAAATGTCATTCACAGACTTAAAAATATCTGGACAGCCAACAGGTTTGTGGGGCAAAGGTTATTGCCCGATTGAACTTGTGATTTTAAAGTATTGTCAACTGTAGGACTACCGTGTGTCAAACATGAGGCCTGGGGTCCAGCACCAGCCCACTGAAGGGTCCAGTCCGGCTCACTGGCTAGCTTTGCAAGTCTGAAAACTGCCAAAAAGTCAAATAGCTTTAGTTTCAGTAAGATGTTCAGCTCCTCCTAGTGAGGAGAGGCCAGCATTACTACATAGTTACTGTATGCGAAGTTAAAGTTGGGACTTGGACAAGGTGTTTTAATAGTATCCTTTAAGAGGCAAAAGAAAAAAAAAGTCTCAAGCTGTTACCCATTTTATAACTAGATTGTGAATATTTAACTTGCTGTATTGAGATTTTAGAGGAGATTAAATCATTTGTGGCCCATTAACTGAAGTTTGACATCTCTGCCACTTTCAGTGGCATGTTGAAGACATATTGCCAGCTTTGCACAGTTTTCTAAAAATGTGACCTAGTGTAGACACGCAGTTGAACAGGGCTCCAACCCCATATTAAGTTTAAAGTAATAAACTTGCAGAGATAAAAAGGCAAATGCACAGGTTTTGGCTTACTTTACTTGGTGCTCATTGAGAACTTTCCCAAAGTTTTATGGATCCAGAATTTAGTCAAGTCACTCCTACCTGTGGTAAGGTTGGCATTTAAGTTTCCTGAAAACACAGAGAGAGACACATTAAAGAGTCACATAATTGAAAAATGTGTTAAAAGTATTAACCAAAGAAAACAAACTATTCCTGAATCAGTAAAGAAGCTCTCACCTTTCTTCAAGACAGGGTACCAATGAGCTGAGCATGGCTTTTATTCCTGTTCGGTTAATTGAGCAAGTGAGACACAGGTATCTGCAATTAGTCAAACAAAAGCTGTGCCCACAAAGCCAAGCCCCGCCTCCAAACAAAGGGGAGTTGGGGCGTGAGGAGACATATTTCACCCACATGACCACCAGGGAAAGTTTTTTGTTTTTTTTTAAATGATTGTTCCTTTACATCAACTAATACATACAGTTGGTCACATGATCAGAAACTAAACCAGACAGATGTCGCAAGTCGTGTTAAACCAGAGTGCGCTGTGTCCAGTTTCAGAGCTCTCTGTGGCAGTCCCGTGGGGGGAGATCCGAGGTAAAGTCTGGGGTCCTGACCACGGACATCCTGTGCTGTGCCTGCATGGCTGGGCTGACAACTGCGGTACATTCAACACGCTTGTTCCCCTTCTGCCAAAAGGTGAGTGTTTTGTACAATGCACATTGACCACTGTAGAAACCTCAGTGCCAAAAATTGAACCCCATGGACAATAATTCTTAAAATCAGCGGATTCTGCTGCTCAGCTCACTCAGGTGTGTGGCGTTCGGTTAATTTGAGTGTACAGCTTGTGCAAACAGGTGCTGCCGCTCAGCTGCTGGAACAGCTGCATCCCATCCAAAAAGACTGGATCTGAGGATGACATAATTACCACAGCACTTTACCCAGATTTTACAATTGTAGCTGACGGATTAGGAGCGTTTTCCTAGCTTTGTGTCCTTATTAACCTGAAAGCGATTTTTAGTTTGCCTTCTCCCTGTGTCTCCACTCAGAGTGTCGATATGTGGCAATGGACCTGGCAGGTCACGGTCGCTCGTCGCACCGTCCTCCTGGAGTTCTGCACGCCTTTCCTTCCTACGTGATGGATGTACGCAGAGTCGTTGATGGTGTGTGAGTTCGAGGACACTTGCAGTTAAGCCTTTAAATCCCATCAGAGATATCAGTGTTTGTTCCAGGATTGCAGTTTGTGATCATCGAGTTTTGGCTGAAACTTACATGTTATCCTTCCATAAACTTCTGCACCCCACATTTTATAATCCTAAGAGGTCTTTAACTCTACACTTAGTTGCTTTCCCTCATATCCATGGGAGTCGCTTTGGTCCATTAGGTTGAGAGAAGCTCTGTGAGAAATGTTGTGACAGCTAACATGACATATTTATTGCTCATTACTGCTCTCAAAGGCAAGCTGCAGCAGTATACAGCTCCTGCAGCCAGCACAGCTGCTGGCTGAAGATGCGGATGTGTCTAATGCTCAGGCTATGATGCTATTTATGTATTCATGACTGCACGGTAACTATCCTTCACTGGTCCTGTTAACATGAGCTAGCATTAAGCCTGAGCCTGTGATGACAGGTATGTAATAAATACACCGCAGGTGTTCGGGAGGCAGCATGGCTGCAGTATAACTGGGAACTACTGCAAACTTTAGTTATAGTTATTGTTAATTTAAATGTAAATAATTATTGTTTTAGTTTGCACTTGAAGCAGGCTTGTAGCCCCGAACAAAAAATTGTGTTTTGGGAAAAAAGTTTAACAATGAAACTCTAAAAATCTGTAAAAATCTTGGCAAAGCTTTCGAATTAGAAGGAGGAAAACAGTGAGGTTTGAAGAGCAAAGGATAAAAAGCTGAAAATGTAAATGAAAGCCAGAAGATGATGTGTGCTGAAATCACATCCTGGACTCGGACCGTTCTAGAGCCGGGGGCTGCTGTGGCTGAAGGATGATTCACTGTGTTTTTTGGTTATATGAGACACATAATCAAAACACACAGTGGGATGTTTGTGGTAAATTTACAATATTTTTATTACAGTATAAAACAAAAGGTTTAAGGGCCACCCATGTGGAACAGAAGATGCTGTTTTCCATCAACATGTTTGACATGATGCAAGCCAGTTTGATCCATTTCCATAAAAAAGGCACAGTGTTAACTGACCTATCATTTCTCTACAAGTCTTGGCTACTCCTCCTAGTTTAATCAAACGTACATGCGGTGATCACCTAATGTGGCTTCACCCAAACTGAGCACAGCCGTGGTGGCTTGGTGTGTAGATAAATGCGCCTGTAACATATTTATCTATACTTGGAGTACCACCAACTACCTGATGCGGGTGTTACGCCAAAGCTCAGCCATCCTGCAGTCACGATCACAGCTACGGCCCGTCACAGAGGACTGAAGCAGCCCCACTGTTGAAGTTTCACCCACTCACGCTGTGCTCATAGGCAGTGATGAGTTGCCGCATCATCCGTAACAGTGTCATAATACTCAGCCTTCACTGTGGATCAGAGGGAATGTAAAATATATGAATATAAAAGCATCTGTGGCTTTTTCACAGGATGCTTTGTGAGCTTTGACAGTTTTGTTGTGTTTTTTAAAAGTGGGCAAACTCTGACCTCTGAGGTAGAGCATACACTGCAGTTGAAAATGCGATGATTTTAATATGAATATACATTTGACATAATTTAATATGCAGTTTATGGATCTAGAAAAAAAGGCCCTTTAATGAATGTTATTAATTTCGAGCATATTGCCAGAGCTGCCATGCATCTTCCTGACAGCTGAATCACAGCAGTGAGGATTTCTTTGAGCTAAAAATGGTCTGTGTTCTGTGATGAGATACTGAACCTGGTTGATGATGTGTGAAATTACTCCCACAGCTCTGCAGTGGAGCAAATTCTCCATTATAGGCCACAGCATGGGTGAGTGCAGCTGTATAAAGAATTCAAGCTTTAAAACGTATGTTTAAAAGCGCACATTTATTTTATTTCTCTGTCCACCTCTTTGTATTTCAGGTGGTAACGTTGCAGGAATGGTAGGTGACTTACGATTAAGACACATTTGAGAGTGCTGTGCTTTATTGGGTGGCATCATTGTCCATGTGGCGTCTTCTGCAGTTCAGCGCTCTGTATCCGGAGATGGTGGATGCCGTTGTGCTGCTGGACTCCTACGGATTTTTACCTACAGACCAGGTACTTGTTTCTTTTGTTTCCTTTGTTACTCCACATCTGTTTTCATAGGAAACATTATTCAACAATACAGAAACAGATGATACCCACACATTCTCTGACTCACCCAGTATACGGTTAACCCTGTACACCCCCCACCACCATCCCAATCTATGTAGTGGCACATTGAAAGAATTAGAATAAGTTAGAAAAGGGTTAGGGTAAAGTTGTTGGATATACATGCCAGACTGAAGTAGTTGAATGCTCACTTTTCATGTCTTACCTCACCCTAAGTGAATTTGTGAGTTGAGCCTGGGGCCACTGTGGCATTGTTTTAGTATGCAACTGAACAGTAGCTGCGTATGATTTACTGTTTTCCACAAATAATATGGCTTGAAATATTGGCCTGTCCTCTGGTGTGCTTTTGCCAGTGCAGGCCACTAGCAGCTCAGTGGGGGGAGAGCAGGTGTAGCGGTGTTACGGTTCTAGCAGGTGTCCCAGGGAGCCATGATGGCTAACCAGCATCCAAAAAATGCAGTAGTGCAGCCATCACTGGTACACTGGTTATCAATGATTATTTCTCCCCAAAACGAGATGTCTGCTGTGGGGGGGGGAAAGTCTGTTCTGTCCACCATGATTTTCTTTCCAGCTTCTTCTAGAAATGCTCCATAATAATTGATTTCCAGTCCTCATGAAATGTGGGTTGCTCTTGGGGCATCAAGGCAGACCTGGCTCTGTAGATTATTCTAGTTAAGTAAAACTACATATCAGAAAAATGGTCAAACCTTTTCTGCACAACCTGTGGAAGCTTTGGTTCAAATGTGATTGGGAAGCCTGCGTGACTTCAATAATGTTATCGTTAAAGTAGCAATACAGTGCCGTGCAAAAGTCTTGAGTCGCCCGTCATTTCACTTTACTGCATTGACGGTGTGTTTGGAAGCATTGTCATACTGAAAAATGAAACTGTTACCAGTCAGATGGGGTGGATCAAAATCTGACCATATGTTTTTATAATTCCATCAATTTGATAAGATCTCCAACACCACCAGATGAAATGCAGCTTCAAACCAGGGCAGAGCCTCCACTGTGTTTTGCAGATGGCTCTAGACAGCCTAGATAGTCAGTGTTGTTCCTCCTCTGCTTATACTGACACAAACTGGAACCAAAAATACTGAATTCTCTAATTCATCGCTACATACTGATTTTTCTAGTTTTTGTGTAATTTGGAGTCAGGAGAACTGCTTTTCAAGACCACTTTAAAGCATTATAAGAAAATCTGGCTCCTTGGAAACAAAATGTAAAGAAATAAAGGGTATTGCAAGACTTTTCCGCAGCACTGTTTGTCACCATAAATACAATTCCCATCAGCGGTTCATTTACACCCTCTTGTGCATCATGTGAACCCATGAAGGGGGAAATTATAACGCTGACGTGTCTCCGATTACTTCTTCCTGAGTGAAGTGTGATTTTTAAGCATCGTTAGGCCTCTCACTGTGTTTGTATTATCTCATCCAGCCTGCTATTATTTAAATTTTCCAGTCTTCTGTGTAGAACAAGAACAAACTTCTTAGTTACAGCTTAAAAAGGGCTGTTATGTGTGAAATAAGAGCTGTTTGATTTACTCCAATGTTTCTTTTCCAGCAAACAGAAAGATGACCTGGGTTCCGCTTTCAAAAGTGGACAACTATTTATTTATTTATTTATTTATTTATTTATTTGTTTATTTATGATGAACTTTAATGTGACAGCTTCTTTTATAGTATGCAAAAAGGCTGCTGTTGTCTAGCAACTTCATCTAAATTAAGTTTTTCTCCTGAACACGTTGAGGCGTAGGTGAAAAGTAGAGGAGGTGCTCGGTTTTTGAGAGCATATAATTTGCAGTGACGAGAAGCCCCCCTCAGAGAGAAACACCTCTCTGGTGACCTCTAGCTAATTATAGTTTGATTTACACTTCAGGGCTTCATGACTTTGTGACAGTGTCTGATGAAGTCTGGATTGTGAGAAAATGAAAAATGCTGTAGGCGGTTTGACATTTTGAAAGGCGTTGCATTTAAGAAACACTTGCGGCCACCAGTGTAATTGAGTCTGGCGCGATTTTGACCTTTAGGCCTGGGCTAAGGCTTTACATTATATTATTGCATGTTGCATGTCTCTATATTATTCCTGTACAATTCACCCTTGTGAGTCGTTTTCAGTTGCTGTCCTTATTTATCTCTGCTCCCTCGCAGAAGGAAATGCCCAAAGTGATCAGGCAGGGGTTCGAAGAGATGCTTCTGTTTGAAAAAACGATGGAGGAGAAGAAGAGAGTGTACACTTACGAGAAGGCAGTAGAAAGGTAAAGCGCCTTCCCTTATCGGCAGTTTTAAAGGAGTTCACTCATGCGCTAACTTTGTTTTTGCAACCTTCAGGTTGATGTCTGTAAACCAAACTCTTTCTGAACGCTCTGCGAAAATCCTTCTGGAGCGAGGTCTGGTTCAGGTTGAGGGAGGTGCGTGTTTATCTTCCTCTCGTTTACCTTCTCTCAAGACTCATCTCTATTTCTTTTTCCCCTTATGTTTAAAGTGTAACTTCTCTTTCCCTTGCAGGAGTTGTGTTCTCCAGAGACTTTCGTGTTAATCTGGTAGGTTTCCCCTGATCATTTCTACCCAAGCTGTCATTTGCAGCAGATGGTATAAACGTGCACAATGTTTCTCAATTTCAGAAAAACATAGCACGCATCAGTTTGGAGCAGAGTCTGGAGCTGCATTCGAGGATCACGGCCTCTGTCCTAGTTGTTCTGTAAGATGGTCTCCTGTCTCTCGTTCTCTTATTGCTTGTGGAAAAAAATAAGAGACTAAATAGATTTGCAATTTTTTTTGTCTTTACAGAGCAGAAAGTGGCTTGGACAAAATATTTGCTGAAGTCGAGCAAAAAAAATTTACATCAGCACTTCTTCAGGCCTACAGGGACAAAAATGTGAGTGCACCTAACAGTCTGTTTGTGGAAAGCAGGTATGTTTGCATCCCCGTGTTTATTTTTAGCCGTTAAGCCTGCGCATAATTGTTCCTAGCAGACAGACAGCTGCACGGATGCTAGAGTAGCAGTGCAGTATGGGCTCAGTGTCTCAGGAGCAGCAGAAATTTATATAGTTGTGAATCTCAACACTGACCTACATACAGGAACTTGGTCAAGTGCTGCTGATGAGGGAGAGCAGAGGATGCGTTTCCACCAATCGTCTCCACTGAGTGGGTTTCTTTCCCAGTCAGATTTTCACTGAGAAACAAAAGATAAGCGTGGCATGTGGTGAGCACAGTGGAGCATTCAGCTCTTTCCCTCAGGTGTTTGTAGAGATTAAAGTAGAGATGTGAGAGCGAACGTAGGACTTGCATTCATTAAGCGCCCAAAAATATTCCAAATGACTTGCGATGCTGCTGTAAACATGGAGGACTTCATGTTTACAAGTTTAACACAGTCATTTAAAATGGCTTTTCATAGCAGCCATGAGGGTAAGTAGCAGTCGAGTGCTGCTAATGTAGTGCACTTGATTAATTGATAATCAGTAACTGTGATTAACTCTATAGAATCAGAAGCTGGAACAAGTGTGTTAACACAATGCTTCAATGCATCTCGGACTTAGTTAGCATGTTCAATGTTAAACTTCGTGATGGCACAATAAGAGAAAAAGACTGAACAAGTATGGATACCTCTTCTCGGTAAAAAGAATATGGCAGCACATTTTAGGTTTGCAGAGGTGCTGAACAAATCACATGACTTCCGGAACTAAAGTTTGACCACAACGCTAAACACAGCACACCAGCACAAATGTTTCATACCAACAGTGAAGCACGGAGGAGGAAGAGTAATGATTTGGGCTTGTTTTGCAGTCACAGGTCCCAAGCACCTCGCAGTCATTGAGTCAACCGCAAACTTCTCTGTATACTAGAGAATTCTGGAGTCGGATACGAGGCGATCTGTCAAACAGTTAAAGCTTGGCTAAAATAATACCATGAAACGGGACAATCATCCCAAGCACAGCAGAAAACAGAATGACTGAAGAAGAAAAGAATCAAGTTGTTGCAATCGGCCAGTCAAAGTCCAGACGTCAGAACGACTGTAATGTGATCTAAGGAGAGCTGTGCATAAATAAATGTCTACAAACCACACTGAACTAAACTAACCTTGAAAGACTTTTCAGATTTAGTCTAAGTTCATGACCTAAACTGCATAAAAAGATGGATGTAACCATTATGTCATTGGTTTCCATTTTGAATTCTTTACTTGTGTGATTGAGACCTTAAACTCACCATGAAAATGTTTAGTGATTTCAGAAATAAAAAGAGAACTAGGGTCAGTTTTTGCGATCAGAGAACTCGCCCCCTGCTGGGCAGATCTTTCTGTGCTTCGCAGTCTGCGGCTCAAGTGGCCGGAAAGTCCTTTATTCCATGTTGAAAGTTTGCTTTATTCACCATCGTGACTGGTCTCATCTGTGTTTTCAGCAATCCGTGGTGACCGTTCCAGGTGATCATCACATCCACCTGAATAAGCCTGACATCGTCGCTCCAGTTGTGTCGGACTTCCTGCAGACCAAAGTCCTCTCACGCTCTGCTACACCAACTAATGGCCAGACCTCTAAGTTATAACAGACCAGTTACTCTTCGAGTCACGTCACACTGACTCTACTGCTAATCCTGTATTTGTACTGTACTATTTACACAGGTTTAACTTTGGTGCTTAAAACTCACTCGGCTGGTCGTCTTAGTGGACTCATTAATTATTTAAAGCCTTTTAAAAGGTAGTGGTGCTGTTTAAATGAGAAGACAAAATTTTGCCATCGCTGCCATCTCTGTCTGTTAACTCAGGCTTTCTGCCTCAGGCTCTGCACTCAGTAACATGAGGGCATCAGAGGTTTGAGTTCTTCTATTGCGCTGCCTGGAGCATGCACCACATACTCCAAGCACAGGCAGTTTCAAACACATTATACCACATTGGAGCTCTCAAACTTAAACTATTATTAAACTATTCCATAGCTTGATAATTGTCCCAAGCACAGCAATAGTCTGTGGCCATATTAAAGTCACACAGGTGAAACTGGATGAAGGGGTTTGTCATTATCTGTGAATTCCTCCCACACAATCACTTGAGCCACCAAACTTGGCACAAAGGTACATCTTGAAGGCCTCTGAAGGTTCTCATCTATGTCAGGTGTTATTAGGTCGTGGTATTGCCTAGCAACCACCTAGCAAGAGGCTCAAATGACTGCTTTTTAGCCTTTACATTCCTATAACACCTTATAAAATTAGCTTTAATTTCATAACTTCTTATTTATATCCACAAAATCTGAATTATGCATGTTGAGCAACCACCTAGCAACAGGCTAAAATCCATTTTTAGCATATGAACAACATCGCTTATTGTTTTACTGTTCTCCCTGTGATTAAGTATATCAGTTGTCCACAGCACCAACAGGCCAAGCAATACTGTAGCATGGGCACGTATGTGTTTCTCTAATGTGTTACTTCTCGTCTCCTCTGTCCTCCCCGGAAATCCTGTCTCAAGTGTGCCGTTTTTAAGGATGTCTCATTCCTAAAATGCATCTGGAGGGGAGAGGAGGCTGCACAGGTATGGCTTTGTGGTAGTTCTTTAACCTCTAGTGTAGGCCATAAGAGCTAGGATATACAAACTGTGCTGGACTCTAAACAACTGCTCGTTTCATCCTCTTAAGTGTTTCAGTTTTTTTTAAGATGATCAGACTTTCTACTCTTCAGTGTTTCTGTGAAAAGTAATATCTGCTCACATTGTGGAATGTTGTGAATGGTGTTTTTGTTTTTGTTTTTTGTTTTTGTTTTTATGCTGTGATATCCTAAAATACAGTAGTAGCCTTTAACAAAACCATGGGCAAATGATGTGGCTGTGCTACACGTCATGTTTCAGTTCAACCTGCAGAGCCAGTGACACCATCAGCTGAATCGCCCCGTGCCGGCTGCCTTTGAGGAATGATTGGGATTCACTGTGGCAGCTCAGACGTCTCACCAGTGTGCTGTGTGTCATTAATATTTTAGCAAGTGCACAGTTTCTCAGATGTGCGACCACATGTTTAATCTCATAGGTTAAGTAAGCAGTGGAGAGGAAAGTGTGTACCAACACAGAGAGAGCAGAGGACGACTCGTGACTTGAATAACAACTATGATTTTCCATACAGGGTGTCTTTTTAGTAAATCTCAAGTACTGAAAAGCTTTTATTTTGAAGAAACAATTTCCATAAAAACAATTTCTGTGCCTGATGCACTTTTTTTTTTTTCTTCTTCTTCTTATATTAAACTGATGGCATTAATTGCAACTGTCTTACAGTGTCTTTGTTCTTCATGAAATTATAAAATCTTGAAAGTTCAATTAAAGTTTTTCGACTTTCTGACAGCTGTTGAAGCACTTGTGAGCTTGGCAACATCAATTTTAAAACAAGCTCAAGAAAAGGGGAAAAACAGTCTTATCATAGATATCTCATAACTTTCTATAATGTTCAATTCAATTTTATTTATATAGCGCCAAATTGCAACAGCAGTCGCCTCAAGGTGCTTTATGTCCTGATTGTGGGTACTTTTTTTTTTTTTTTTTTTTTAAATTCTACTGCAGTATTTCAGGGACACCAATGCTTAAAATATAGTATTTATAATAATTAAAATTTAATGGTGCATACATTTTTGTTTTTTTTATTAGATTGATGCCATATAGGTTGAACCGTGGGCGGCCACTGTGGCTGTTGCAAATTATCCAGGCGTCTTGTTTTAGCCTCTAAATTTAAAAACAACAATAATATTAACAGTAGTTTATTTATAAAGCACTTCTCAAAAGGATCATTATAAAGTCCCTCCCAGAATAAAAGCAGAATAAGATAAAAGAAACTAAGAGGAATAAATTACAAATCAATTAAAATAAAGATTCAAGAGGAATGTCAAAATAAGAATGAGATAATGTTATTCCAATTTTAATGCAAATCATATCTTAGAAATCTAGACATTACTCCTTTAAGTGTATCATATTTGATAAATGTGATTCTGGGACTACTAACATAAAGTGCACAACTGTTTTTAAGCAACGAATTGTACAAAAATGTCATATGTAGCAAAAATTATACAAAATAAAACTCATATGCAAACTTATATTAAACTTCTTTGTGTTTATGTTCAAAATACACTCCAGTATTAAAAAATAAGAATTTTTTGGCAATTAATGTTTTAGGCTTTATGAATAAGCATGGTAAAAAAAAATAAACATAAACACATAAACTCTAGAATAAAAGTTATGAAAAGCCTTACAATACAAATGAGTTTCCAGCAGTGATTTAAAAGATGACACTGATGACGTGAGCCAGTTTTCCTCAGGTGGGTCATTCCAAAATCAAGGAGCCCTTAACAGCAAACGCTCGACTGCCTTTTGTCTCTCAGCGTGAGTTAACAGGGTCTGCCTGAGGATCTGAGGCTGCACACTGGTTCAGGAACAGCAGTTTGAATGTGTAATGTAGTGCCAGGCCAAGAAGGGCTTTAAAATCAATTCTAAAAGTAATGGGCAGCCAGTGCAGAGTCATTAGGAGTGGTGTAATATGTCCAGTTTCTTGTAAGAAGTCTGGCTGCTGCATTTTGCACCATCTGAAGTCAGTTGAATGCTTTCTGATTAATACTTTTTAAAAGACCACTGCAACAATCTAGGCGAGAGCAAATGAAAGCATGAACGGAGGCATATACATGTTTGTTTGGTGCTCTGCGGTTATCCATCCTGCTGCACTAAGGAGCCACATGAGAGGAATGTCTGTCTCTCTTCTGTTTGTCAAATTCAAAGTTAAAGGAAGGATTTTTCAGAAGTTTTTACTACAGAAAAGCGACTGGAGTCCAGCCTGAGAGTTCAGTTGAAGTAGGGCTCAGGTTGCTTCCTCCTCAACCTGACTCTGACCTTCAAACAAAAACCTGTCATTTTATATAAAGAGGAGCAAAAGTCCATCGCGTTGCAGTGAAGGTTTGAAATACTGATCTGCTACTTTTTGAATGAGTTCTTTGAATTAATTCAGCAGTTTCTTTGACTCTGCTTGTTAGCAAACTAATCTTTGAGGCTTTTATCGGGCGTTTTAAGTTTCTGTGCTTAAGGAAGTATCCAGAATCCTTTCTTAAATAAAAGTACCACAAATACCTCAGTGTGGAAATAAATGAATGTTTGAACAAAGCGTGATCTACTCAAAGCATCAGCTCCAAGATGTTTTAGTGGACTCATATTCGACAGGGCACCACTCTGTAGACCTCCTTCCTAAATCAAGACAAATCTGTGTGCAGCCACCGCCCCTCTCATAAATAAACTTGACAGTAATCTGATTCTGAAAAAATAATAAAAGTAAACTCACTTGTGTATCTGTGTTATATTAAAATTAACTTCTGTTGTTGATCTTTCACAATTTCAGCCTTAACTTTGTGTAAGAACTTTGTGTCTGAGCTGCATACTGAGGTTGTGTGGTGTCCATGCTCAGAGCTCACTGTAGGGCCCCAGGGGAAGGGATCATAGACTGTATATGAAAGAGGGAGAGATCAGAGGTAAAATCTGGAGTCTAGGGTCGTCCTTTGCTTTGGTCAGTCAGCTGAGACTGAAGAAGTCACTTGGATGAGTGACACAACTTCCCACTGAAAATGCTACGTCCAGATGAACAGAATCAACTTTTGGATATTTGAGATTCATCTGCTACTTCTTTTGTTCTCCACTCGTATCGACTGAAAATATGTTAAAAAGAAGCTGGAGCTTTAGGAGCCCTGGGGAACTGTTACTCAAGATCACTTTGAAGATTACGAGAAACTGGCTGCTTGCAAGTAAAATAGAAATGAAATGAGGGGTGGCTCAAGACTTTTGCACAGTATTTTATTGTATTAGTACATAGAAACCACTATCCTGATTATCTTTAATTTATCTAATAATAAACACAAAGTCATCAAATAATAAGACAAATATTTGTTGAAATCTGTTTATACCTGTAATTTTAATGAGCACATGAGTTAGGTTTGGGATTAGAGTTATTCCATTGTGTATGTAGAAAGACTCACGGAGGCTGTGCGAGTTTATGGAGCTGAAGAATAGTTTTATCCAAACAAAATTAAAATTTTAACACAAGCTTAGATCTCTGCTGGTTTATTTGTTTGTTGCTGCTGAAGGACTTTGGGGAACTAAAATTGATCTCAGTGTTCTTTGAAATCTGCCTTTTGAAGATGTGTGAAAATTCACTCCTGCAGCACTGCAGATGAATTCTCACACACTGGCCTCTGCTCACCACCAAAGACTCGTGTTAAGTAGAGGAGAACTTATTTTAAGCTGTGATTTGTGTTTTGCTCTGTTGCAAATTTAAGCAAAGCATCTATTAGGAAATGGCCTGAAGTCAAGCTAAGCTGCGATGCCTGTAGATCACGTGATCTCAATACCAGCCCACATCACCTACACCTACACATTCAGTTGGCAAAACCCAAATAGGGGGACGCATGATTTGTGCCATTTGAGCTTGCTTACACTTTGTGCACACCTGCAAGCTGCTTTGCAACCCATTTTTGCAACCCATGCACCAAATGCATGATTTGTTCATGCATTTGGTGCAGGTAAGACCAATGCATGCTTGCAAATATGAATCCTCCTAATGTCTGTGGTGTTCCTGACCGAGACTGTTTAAAACGGTTTCAAATGCAAGTCTCGTGATTCTATCTATTTACAGGCATCTCTTTAGGCTGATTTGGTTTTATTTCCTCTTTTTTCAAATATTATAGAGGCAAATTTGGTGTGATTTCATTTGTAGTGTCATTATATGAACAGTTTTACTGCACTTTATGAAGAAGTTCAAGCACTTCTGGACTGCAGATTTGGTATTTTAATGACTTTTACATTAAAAGTCACCATGGAGGCCAGGAATGACTGCATAAAAAGCAAAGACTTTTACCACTGGGATTTAGAATTGTTTATATTTCCATCTCTTTTGTATTATTTTAATCCAATCTTTCGAGTATCCTCTTGTATCTTGTCAAGTC